TAATAATAATACGGCGGCCTGCCTCAACGGAGACTAGCCATTGGCGCAGGACAGGATTATAGTGCCCAAGTGTATGCGCAAGCACAGGTGCACTCTCTATTCCCTCACTCTCCTCTCTCCGAGGCACAGGGGTGAGATCACCGCCAACTTCCTGTCTTCGGGCAGCTACTGAGAATTTCTTGACAGAAAAACTCAAAAATCGATTTTTTTGACCCGAACCGGGATTCGAACCCTGGACCTCATGATCAACAGTCGCACTACTACAACTGCTAGACCAACGAGGCAGTTTTGTATTGATAATGAACACATATATTATATAATACGTTTATAAATATGTTCCGTGTCTTATATGAAAACACAGGAGTCGTGGTAGCTCAGAAACCAAGCATTCGCCGTAAATTTTCAGTACCGACAGCAATTGTTAGTTTTTTTTTATAATTTAAAATCTAACTTCAAACTTAACTACTCATACACAACACTACGAGTACATCATCATCTCTATGAATATAAGGCCGCAGCTTTTATTTAAAACAAAAATACGGTAATGATACTGTTATAAACATTATTTATTTTACATTCCGGTATTTCTTTAAACTCAAAATAGCAAATGATTTATACGCTAAGTAATACTAAACTAAAATTGTCCCGAACAGCGTAAAGCCAACGCCTACGGAAAATGTCTCATATCGTTTATGCATGTGAGTTATTTATTACAGTTTATACGACACTAAATTTTCCTCCAAGATTTTTCATGAATATATTTCATACAGGTAAATTAAAACTATAATTTGAAATAAATACCAAAAATGCGATGTTTTAAGTGACTATACTTAAACATAAATTATATTGATGACGTTTAGGTACGTAGTAATTCCCAGCTCAACAAGAATTGACTGCGCCCTCCTTTCTGCCAAGGAGGGTCGCGTTCGTATACGGCTTAGAGATCTCTAGTTAGACCGTTAAGCCAGTCCCTAAAAGGTGGGGTTTAGTGGGTAAAAGTCTCCACATAACCACGCAGCCGGCTGCGTGGTATGCTATGAGCATTCCCCACCTCCCTCCCCCGTTTTCCGGAGGGTTGCCCATATTTGCTTCGGGCACAAAAAAAAACAAGGATTAAAAATAAAAGTAAATAAAAAGTAAAAATAAACGCGATAAAATCCGTAAAAGTAGTTTTAATCATGTATAGTGTTCGCGTAAATATAAGAAATCATTATGAAAAACAAGGATTGTATGAGCGCCTTCAAATACCAGATCACACAGTACGAAATTAAACTTATCTTTTAACCGAGTTCTTAAAACAAAAATGTAGTATATTAGACTCGTGTGATTGTATGTATGTTCAATGTGGCCGGACCGATGTAATAATTCTACTTTTTATTTAAGTGATTATTTTTCAGGGGTCCATATAAATGAAAAAAAAAACATGTTTCTACCTTCGGAAATTGTCCCATTTCAGCATGGATATTGCAAAATGCGATTTTTTTTTGCAGTAAATGATACTATTTGGTTAATGCACGAGTGTAAATAAATTAATAGTAAATAAACGCCAGAAAGAGGATATCTCCTCTCCTTCTTCTGATTAGCTAAGGTGCACCAGAATACAATGTGCTCCTTAATCCGCAACCTCCCACTCCACCTGCAGAACGGACTCCTCTAAACCCGATAAGTAGGGGCCGTGAGGCCAGAAAAAGACGAGGACTCGGAAGCACCAGCTTTCCTAACCCCGGAATTGGCGGATCTGGTCTGGTCTGGTTTTTGCTGCTGTGGGTAGGAAAAACAGTGGTGTCAGAGGGATTGGTCAAGTGGCACATTGCTATACCAACATTCTTCTTCCCCCGTTACTCCACCTTGAGCGGAGGGTAAGGGACTTGGAGTGACCACCTCATACCAGCCTGTTTGAGGTAGTTACTCCAAACTGATAAACGAGCACACACTCCATCTTATGGTAAGTGGATGTTGTGACCCATAGAAATCTACTCGATACTCGATTTAGAATCAAAATTACTTAGGACTAAGATGGAATAAATCAATTCCAATAAAAAGGTTCTACACTCTCCATACGAAACACAGCAGCATTGTGCTGCATTTTTACGCTGGTATTCTGTGGGAGCATAATCCTCCCCGAGTCTAACCGACCACATAAGTGCTTCCTCTTAGTTCACCTTGAGTGGCACGCCAAAGTTATTAAAATCCCCGCCACGACTAGGTGGAAATTCGTTCCGGCGTGTACAAGACAAGGGCCTGTGCCATCGCACAGAAAAGGTGACATAAACGTCAAACGGTCGATATGCGGATTGATGAACGTAGTACCAGAAGTCTGCACCTTAGTCGCTCTGACTATTTTCGTTCTGGTACTATAAAGTACGTGAATTAGCAAACTATATCTTTTATATCGAATAAGGATCACAAACGAACAAACAGTCCACCTGATGTTAAGTGTATGCTCTCGCCCATAGACATCTATACCCATTTTCAAAATAGAACCAAAATGCAGTTGCGTTGTCACCCCTGAGGACTAAGACGGATTGCCACGTTTCCAGAAAATAGTGCACATAACAGTTTAATAGTGCACGAGCAACATGAGCTATGCACAGATACCAGTGAAATTCAATTAATATAATAAATAATGGCAACAATAAGTACCAATTGACCGTCGCGGCGAAGAAACCTGCGTGCCTGAGAAATATCACAGTAAAATGGCAGCTTATTGCTGGTGATTTTCGTATCGTAAGTTTCAAGAACAGGAGACCCAACTTTATTGATAAAGATAGATGTTTATGTCTACAGACCACAACATCCACCTACCATCAGTTGATTGCGATCATCGTCGCGCTTATTGCATAAAAAATGTACTGGAGCAGCGCCGTGGGCTTATTATAGTCAATAGCCCTCTCAAAAATGAGAAAAGGCATGTTTAGACGCACATTAAGCTAATATAACGATTTTTAAAACCTTAAGATAATAAAAATAAAGTTCTAACTTAAGTTTATACAACTATTGTTGAATAAATACTCTCTTAATGCATTACAGTGTGGGGAGGAGCATCAAAAAATAAATTAAATGATTTTGAACGTACATAGCCAACGTGTCTTAATAAAATTATGTACAGTAATCCTTACGATATCCTTAAAAAAACTATTCTTGGAGTATTCATTCCATTGAAAGTTTTTAAGAAATTTTCTACGGAATAGCGGGACATCCTGACACAGGTATAGATTTACCTAAAAAGATGCCCAAGAAATGCATTAATTTATCGATTTCAACGAACTGTGATATAATAATTTATTTTATTTATAAATATAACGTAAGTTCGACAAACTTTTTAAAATATATATATATTAGAAACAAATTTCAAATTTGATGTAACTTCTCATGGATAAATTTTACAAGAATTTAAAATTGCTGAGTATGCAGAAAGGTTTTGTTTTAATAATATTTAAAAATATAATTTTAAAAATTTCTTCACAGCAAAACCCGCTTTATCGGGCACGTGATCGCCAACGTACGTTTTGCATAAAGTAAGTTTCGTTCATGTTTTCTTAAGGTATCAAGATATTGTAAAATTAAAATTTAAGCGCTGTATGAATAAACAGTGTAATATTCAAACACTGAAACGCTTTACCATAGACATTTTTATCGACATTTTGTCATTAGTAGCGACAGTGACTCATTTATTATTAAAAAAACTTATGATCCAGTGTTTCACTAACATACTAACTAATGGGAGGTGGTGATGTGGCCGAAGATGGTAAATGCACTGACTTAGCTTATTAAGAGGCTGTTTACTTTTGTTTTGAATTAAACCACATTGTTGTCACAGTTACTATGTATTTACGGCATATTAATGATTCACCTTATCGCGGTAGCTCAGGGGCTGAGCGCTCGATGTAAATTTTATAACACGCGAGCAACGGCATTCGGTCCTTACCGGCACCAATCTTTACTTTTTACAACGATTTATTGAAAACGGGCCAAATTATGCCTGCTGCATACGTAACGATTTATCGTAGCGATTTCAGACTGTGCAGATAAATCGAAAATCGTTCCTAGTGCCTCCACACGCGTCCGATATCGACGTCGATCGGGCAGTTCTCCGCAGAAGCTCGCGCAACATACATGTTAACAATGGAAGATTATGACGCACTTGCTATATCAGGCCTGGTTATTTGTTTAAAGAAAAAAAAAAGAATCGGAGTCTATACTGTAAAGACTGGCTTATGAAAAGGAAGCAACTTTCTCATACCAACTTGTTATGTGAGTTGAAATTCGCTCCGCAAGATTGGCATAACTATTTAAGGATGAATGAAGAGGCATATTTAAATCTGCTGGCTTTAGTTTCTCCACTAATAAAGAAACAAGACACTGTAATGAGAGAAGCTATAAGTCCTCATGAAAGATTAACTGCTACACTGCGATTTCTAGCTACAGGACGTTCCTACCAATGTATGAAGTTTTCTACAATAATATCACCGCAAGCTCTTAGCCAAATAATCCCTGAAACCTGTGATGCTCTGTACGAGGTTCTACGGAAAGATTACTTAAAGGTAAGGAACGAAAAATACTGTATTAATCAACAAATTATTTATTAATTAAACTTTTAGGATGTATTGAAGAACATTTTACTTTTTTTTTTGAGTTGTGTGTGTCACTTAATGGAAAGGTTTTGAATTTGTGGCTAAGTGGAAAGGTTTTGTATGTGTGGCTAAGAGGAAAAGTTTTGAATGTGTGGCTGTGTGGAAAAACTAGTATTTGTAAAGTCATCATATTTTCTTATAGTGTGTGATATAGTTAAACAACCCATTTCAGCCAAGAACAGAGTTTCATTAATTATTTTTTCTGCTATAATTCTCTTTCTTTTGGTAACTCTTGTAGTTTCATCCCATTTTTGCCAAAAAACCTCAAAACGATTATTGGGTTCTTTAGGCCTTTTAAAATGATCATTTACGGACTTAAGTACGTCTTCAGTTAATGTATTTTTTTGCTCTTGGCCGAACACGACCCTAAATTGATGTAGCTCGTTCGCTGTTAGAACAGTCTTCCGGGGTCGGTGTGTCTGATTCGTTGTCGGAATAGGCCAGTGTCGGTGTGTCTCGATCGCTGTCTGGACAATCGTAGCTCGTTGAGCCGATGCCGGTGGTTGACTGCGTCTGTAAAATAGAAGAACTATTATATTTCTGAAATTACTATACTAATCATGTATTCATTTTGTTACAGATTCCAAAAACAGAAGAAGAGTGGAGAATAATAGCGAGAGAATTTGAGCAGAAGTGGAACTTTCCTCATTGTTTAAGTGCTATTGATGGCAAGCACGTTGAGATCGTACCCCCAAGTAACAGTGGCTCGTTTTATTATAACTATAAAGATAGACACAGTATGGTATTACTAGTAATCGTTGATGCAAAATACAGATTCCTGTTAGTTGATTTTGGGACAAATGGAAGGGTTTCCGATGGCGGAGTATTGTTGAATACAAAATTTTATGAAAAACTTGAAAAAAAAAGGCGTTAAATATTCCTACAGAAGAAAGGTTACATAATAGTCCACGAATACTGTCATATGTATTTGTAGTTGATGACTTCCTGTAAGAAAGGACATGATGAAGCCATTTCGGCAAAATGACTTAGATAGTAGAATTAAGAAGATATATAATTATCGGACATCGCGTGCACGCCGTATAGTTGAAAACGCTTTTGGTATACTAGCGGCGAGGTTCAGAATTTACAGAACACAAATGAATATATCGCCTGGAACTATTTAGTCAGTCGTAAGAGCAACCTGTTCTTTGCATAATTATTTGATGTCATCATCGCTTAGTTCATACGCTCCTTCAGAATGTTTCGATAGTGAACATTATGAGGAAGGTACGATAACGTCAGGATTCACAACAAAGGACTCAACACTTGAACCATTACAAAGAACTACACAAGGCCGTACAATTCAAACAGCAAATCAGATAAGAAGTCAATTTATGACGTATTTTGTAACTGAGGGGAAAGTTCCTTGGCAAAGACAATTTTGTTCATTAATGTCAAAATACAGGACTTGTATTCGAATAATATAATTAAGCAATAAATATTTTTTCAGAAATAAAAACGTACCTCATTTTCATCATCATCTATATTCGATGTAGATGGTCTCGGTACTTCTTGATCGTATAAAAAAACTCAATAACTCAAAGTACCATAAACGAGGTTTATAAATCTTGTCAGTCCCTGCTCCAGATTTACACGATTTTTTTATTTTATTGAGCTCTTTTTTATATGTAGTTCGAAGATTATTAACCCTTGATTTACCACCCTAATTAAAATATCACTTATCACCACCATGTTTTAATTTTTTAAATAAAAACTAAACGAAACATGTTATTTATGTTGTTATTTATTAGACTTCTAGCAAACACTATAATTCGTACATATCCGGTAACATTTTGTGATAAACTCAAATTAACATGCAGTTTGCAAATACTTTAAAATTAACAGTCATCAAAAATCGTTCATTACGACTTAGAGAAGAAAAAATAAATGTTATAGCTCTTAGACAAAATAGAATATTTTTCTTATAGAAGACATTATGAGGTAATTAAAAATAATAATAATTAATAATGGCACTATACAAAATTTCAAAACGTGCAGTAAGTTAACATACTAATGTGTTAGACATTCTTGCCATGACTTTTTGGAACAAGTAAGGCAGATTGGATTCTGCAAAGATAAGCAGTCTATGTTCGTTTCTTATGATTGCAAGTATAGCAATATTTGCGCTGATCTCTCGGTAAAATATCATCAGTTTGCGTTGTACTTGCTTGATCAGGAATGTCTTAGGCATGGTATGTTGTCCAAGTTACTAAGGATTGTACAGAAGTTCAAAAGAACAGAAGAACAGGAAAGAAAAGAAGAACAGGGGTTCTTCAGTCTCGGAGCATTCGGAATTGGTGTCGTGATCACTCACAATATAATCGGCGTCCTCTTTATCAGAATATAGCCCACGAATACATTACAACTGCATAGCCGCTGCCATCGCCAATCTCCTCATCTTCGCTTAGTAAATCATCTTCTTGCAGCCTCATTCAAGAAAAGAAAAGAGCTTACTCCTGTCTAAAGGGCCGGCAATGCACCTGCAAATCCTCTGGCGTTGCGGATGTTCATGGGCGGTGGTAGTCACTTAACATTAGGAGAACCGTATGCTCATTTGTTCCCTCTTCTATGAAAAAAAAGCCATTCATTTATGATATCTGAGGCTAAATCATCTGCAATGTTTACCGATTCAATCCTTCTACGTTAAATTGCCATAGTGAAAGGCTACAACAAAATTAACATAGATAAACAAAAAAGTCAGTAAATCCATTTTTGTCACACACCACTCCACCATGAGTCCCTAGGACTCACACTTGATCATTTACCTTTCCGAACGACGTGCGCACGCGACCGCTCACTTCTGCGTCTTGCACCTTACCGCAGGAAGGTACTAGAAAGTGCAAGTCTAAACTCTAAAAAATAAGGTATTTTTTGTTGTTTAAAAGTGGTGGTGAGTCCCGTGGACTCAGGGTGGTGCATTAAGGGTTAATCATCTTAACCACTGTACCCTGGTGACATTTGAATTGGATTGGGTTTGTATTTTTCGATTAGCCTGTCGTAGGCGGCATTTTTTGTTGCGGTCGTGGTAATCCTTAGATGTAGTCTTCCAAAGGCAAGTTTCGTTTCTGTAGCTTTCTATAAAATCTTGAAGTAGTTCGCGATGTCCAACTCTTTCGTCTTCTGACATGTTTCTGTGAAAGCGATGTGCACGTGCGAACACTAGCAAGCTCCGTGAAGTACTGCCGAACTGAGTAGGAGTGGTCGTTACAAAACGTAACTAGTTACTGAAACTATATATTCACACAATAGCGGGTAGCCGGTTATTGCAGTGCAACGAAACTATCTATTACAGTAGACGTTTCACTCAGTAACACGATTCACGTTTCACGAATCACGAACGAGCGATCAGTAACAAAACGTTTATTCGGATATTTTCGCTTGTTCTTGCTGTTATAAGTGTGCGTGTACTCGTGCGTTTATGTGTGAGTGCATATGTGCGTGCATGCGTGCGTGCGTGTGTATGTGATATATGAAAAAGAAACAGAAACTCTTTTATACAATATATAGCTTATAAATAATACTTATTGAAAAGATTTTTTTGTATTTACCACTTTTCACTACACATTTTGTACACTTGTATATTCTTATTCCTTTTTCTACACTGCATCGCAACTTTTTTCTTCAATAAACTTTAATCTCTAAGAACGGTGTCACCTGATATCACTATTTTTGATAATGACTAAGAGTTACAGAGCCTATACACGTCCTACTGCTGGGCACAGGCCTCCTCTCATATTTGGAAATTTCCGCCGCACTGCCCCAATGCATTTTGGCGAACTTCATAAGTCTTATAAATGTTTCTTTCTTATTTCTCAGCCATGCAGGTTTCGTAACGATTTTTTCCTTCACCGCCAAGCACGTGATAAATCAGCACTTAAAATTGCAATTAACAATTTCATTGGTGTCGTTTGAGATTGAACCCGCGTTGCTCGCGTTATGTGAAATTTACTACGAGCGTTCTTTGGTATATATAAAAAAATTGTTTTATTCAGGAAGTTTGTCAATTTTGACACTAATTTCTTTATAGAAAATAATCCTAAAACCAATTTAAGGATATTCCACGGATGCCCATATTGTCCACTCTGGTGAATACTTACATAGGGTGTAGATACGAATAAATGTTTTTTAGAGGTCTAACAATACTTAATATTATTTGACACCAATACATACAAATACATTTTGTATAAATAAAAATAAATTATACCAACTTTACAATAAATGTTGTGGAATGCAGTGTAGCGATATCCATCGATCTATTTTTCCTAAAGCGGTATTGTTTTTTAAATAAAAGTCCGTTAGGCTCTAAAAACTTGAATCTATGTATAATAAAATCTTAAATCATGGAAAAAGGAACAGACTGATGGGTCTGTTCCTTTTTCCATGATTTAAGATAAAGCTGAAAAAAAATTACTTAACACTATAGTTAGCTTTATTGAGCATAATAATAAATTTTATATTATAATACTATTAAGAGGATAATTATAAGCTCAAGGCCGAAAATATTTTTTTTATGGAAGATAGTTAAGTGACTACCGCCGCCCATGATCAACCGCAATTCCGATACTGGCTGAGGCAAAAAAGGGAGTGCCTTGAAACTGAGGAGATACGATAAAGGGGTTCTTTTTAGCGGTTAACTTGTGGTTAAACTAGTGTTTTCTTACTGTTAAACTGGACTAGATTTAGTCGCCTCCAATCCGAGAGTTTGTTCAGCAAAGACTCGACTTCAGACACAAGTTTGTCCCTATACTCGGAGACATTTTCCCGAGAAATATTGGCACAGCCAGTATATAGAGCACCACCAGTGCTGTCATCTGCATAATAATGAATGTTACGGGTTTGCAACATATCATTGGTATGCAGAAGAAACAGCGTTGGCGATAGCACGCAGCCTTGTGGAACACCAACATTAATAGGCTTGTAATCGGAGCTTGCACTGTCTACAACGACCTTGATGCTCCAATCTGCAAGAAAGCTGGTGATCCAATTGCACAATTTCTAGGGAAGCCCATAGGAAGGGAGCTTCGAAAGAAGCGCTTTGTGCCAAACCCGATCGAAGGCTTTCGCAATGTCCAAACTAACGGCCAATGCCTCCCCCTTGGACTCTACTGCCTCCGCCCATCTATGAGTTAGGTAGACCAGAAGATCACCAGCTAATCGACCATGATGAAAACCGTACTGGCAATCAGTAATCAGCTGGTGATCCTCAAGGTACCTTATGAGCAGACAGTTTACAATGAACTCCATTGTTTTGGAGAATAAGGAGGTGATGGCGATAGGCCTGTAGTTGGACGGGTCTGAGCGGTTGCCTTGTTTAGGGATCTGGTGGAAGAAAGCCGTCTTCCATGATTTTCGGACTACGCCTACGGAGTTGGAGTACCAGAAAAGACGCGTTAAGACCGGTGCTAACTCTGGAGCACACGTACTCAACACAATTGGGGGGATTCCGTCAGGCCCACTTGACTTGTGGATTTCCAGGGAGAGGTGCATGGGGGGGGGGGCATGGAGCACTCACACCGCGGGATGGTCGGAGGCTTACTCCCCCCGTCATCTAGAGTCGTTTACGCACGACTTACTACTCACGCTTATAGCTTATGAAAATCTACATAATCGGCACTTCACCACGTAATAACGTTCGCAATTCTGCTACCGGTCAGTGCAGCCGCTTCCTAATGATGTGGCCGAATTTACAATATTTTCGTAGCGTAAGCATATCTACTGCGCGAAAATAATTCTAAATGTCGTGTCAAACTAAACGCTTAGTTACCGTCGTTGTCCACGAGTTCCTGGCCTTTGTTCAACAAAAATTGGACGTCACGGACCAGATATCCCTGGAGCAGATACTGATGACTAGCTTCACCGAAGACGAGATCATCCAAGCGCAGGAGGTGTAAGCAGTTTCAGCCGTGACCCAAATCCGTCTTATCACACGTCATAGAGATGTACGCGGTAGAAAGACCTGTATGATATCTTCAGTCTGTTCAATGAGATCGATCCCAATGACATCCCAACTTTCGTCGCGCGTGATCTCAAGAAGCTGTCTCCCGTAACGTTTGATCACGGAGACATGACACATACGTGATTGTTGAAAGATATCACCATGTTGAAAGCCGAAGTCAACGACCTCCGTTTCATATTTAAAGAACCGGAACGAGCCGCAACAGAGCTGAATAATGAAGTCACTATGTTGCGCAACATAGTTGCAACATCTGCGAATTCGCCACCGTCGCAGAATGTAAATACGACACGCCGTAATCTTAATAGTAGTCATATTTCACCGATGATTGCGACTCCGTCACGCAACATCTTGGTTGATGACCGTGAAACTAGGACGACCTCGGTTGTCATTGCATCACCACCTCAGCTCTTGACAACCCTTAAGTACATCTCTGCCGAAGCCAACCTGTAAGCGGGGGAAGACGTTTAATAATAATAATTGTATAATAATAATAATAATTCTTTTTATTATCAACAAAAATAAATCACAAAAGTTTTTTGAAGTCTCTGACTCCCAAACTAGACGAGTCTGTATCTTAGGAATCAGCGGCCTCTCCCAGAGTTGTAATACAGGTAACACTAAGAGAATTATGCATGTTTTCATTATTACAGTAGAAACTGTGGCCGTGGAAGGAAAAGGGAAGATCTCTCGCCGGGCAAGGTGTTCTGCCCGGAGAGCGGCCAACATTCCTTGTGATAGTTCGGAGATGTTCTATATATACTGTTTATGATTCGGAATGTTGATAACGTGATTTAGGCTTCGGTGTATTTCGCTTGCGGCGCGACGACAGCGCCACAAAACAAAAGAAAAGTAGACAATTGAAATTTAGAAAAGTTAAATTAAATACACCCTCAGACCCTCCAATTAATATATTATGTTATAATCATAATACATACACTGAATTTTCAGTTAAATATTTTTATGCACTGATTATTTATCATATTAATTATACTAATTCCGGAAGAATGTTGTGGTCACAGTATAAATCCACGAACGCAAAGACTTTAACTTGCTTGAAATAAAGTTCATTTTTCTTTATTTTTATTGAATGACAGAATTAGTAATAATACAAATAAAACTGCACTCTTAAAAGTCTTATTGCCTTAGGTTACGGTCCATTTAAGTTTTTTTGACTGTACAGATTTAGTGTGACTGTAATTTACCCAGTTTTAATTATTTTTGGGATAAAAATTAGCTATATTAAAAATGATAGGAATCGATTCAGTAAACGATTCTGAACAAACTACTTTCTCAAAGTGCGTTAATTATGTTATATGTTGTATATATATATATATATACATATACAACACGAGCATATACATAATATATATTATATATAATACATATATATTAATATATATGTATTATAACATAATATATATATATATATATATATATATATATATATATATATATATATATATATATGCACATGAATATTAAAGTTCACATAGTTCATACACAGCGTTTGCGGATGTTGCTCGAAACCTCACAACCGGCACCCTCTTGTGGTCGAAACAAAAGAATGTGGATATAAAACCAGTTCCTGTGGTGACCCGAAACAAGAGAGATAATGACGGGTTTACTCTTGTTGAGAAGAGACGTTGGTCGAGACCCGTCTGTAACCAGCGTGGATCTGCCAAAATAAACGCAAGTACAACTCTACACATTGTGGAGCCCACCTTACAGCTCTACATCTCCCAACGATCCGATCTCCTTATATTTGCAGCGTTTGGAGTCTAATAGGACTACGAACTTTAAATCCTACGTACTCCAGGTTCACAGCAATGTGACTCTGCAATGGATCAAGGAACACAGTGGACCTAAGGGCAACGACGCAGCAGATGAACTGGTCGGTAGAGGATCGGCTATGGCCGTTATAGGACCGGAACTGATTATACCGATCTCTTTTGGTGACGTTCGTTCACTGGTACGTAAAAACTTTACCAATCAACACGCTCAGCTTTAAAAAATCTACGAAAAGCCAGGAAAGGAAGCCAGGAAAGCCCTGTCAAATTTAAACAGTTATATAACCAAGATCTTAAAGAGTTCGAACAAGCCACAAATCAGGATAGCAACAAGTGCTATTACAGGACATGGATCTTTTAACAAACGTTTATTTACTAGAGGTG